GGGTGAGACAACCTCTAACACACCCCCTCAACGATACACGCTACGCACAAAGCTACACCATACTCACCAAGCTATAACATACGCACCGAAGCTACACCATACGCACGAAGCTACACCCTACGCGCAAAGCTATACTATACCCACGAAGCTACACCATACGCACGAAGCTACACTCGCGACGCTTACGCAAGTTTCGTCATACTTTGTTTTATCATATATTCAATCTACGCTTTGACATATTGACAGAAATTTCTGACTATGCAGGTCAGAAGATCCGCGCGCTGACATTCAACCAACGGTGGCGGGAGATCGCGGCGCTGACGCTGAACGGCTACATCCACGTCTTCAACGCGGAGACCTTCCGACAGACGCTGTCCCGCAAGCTACCCTCCTGCCAGGACCTGGTCTGCCTCGCCACGCAGGTACGCCTGCCAGGAACTTCTTAACTCAACAGGAAACTTGTGGTGTTATATTCAAGGAGTTAACCAATGAGGCTCTCCTAATATAATAAAAGTGAATTGACCGATTGCTTGGATCGATCTAAAAAAACTCATTTATTAGCTGTAAAAGTAGGCCGATCGGTCCAACGGGAAATACTCGTTTTTATTTTATGTTATAAAAAAAACAACTATTAAATTATTCAATAAGGACTTGAGGAATTATTTAAGCCTCGAATCTTTGAAGTAATTAAAAAAATATATAATTAAATTTCCGTTTATGGGCTGGTTGACAAATTTGTTATTTAATAACTTAACCTAGTAACATTTCTATGTATGTTACTAGGAGAGCGGTATGTACGCGATCGGCTGCAAGTCGTACACGTTGCTGTTAGACTGCCGCACGCTGCAGTCCGTGAAGAAGATCACCTCGCGGTACAACGGCTGCGGCATCCGCTCCGCCAGCTTCCGCGGAGACATGCTCACCATCGGCACCGGGCTAGGTAACGTGCACGCTGCCATGCGGAACATGTTTCTAATATCGCTTTAACATTGCGGGAACATGTTTCTAATTATCGCTGGAACATTGCAGAACATGTTTCTAATGATTGCTAGAACATTGCGGAACATGTTTCTAATGTATATTGCAACACAGTGTAACATGTTTCTTAAGTATGTTTTGGAGCGTGTTTCTAATGAACCCTGCAACTTGTGGACTATGTTTCTAATAACAATATTCTTACAGGTTTATTGATGTTTTACGACGTAAGAGCAGGAAAATATCTAGAGAGCAACATTCACTCTTCAAAGACTGTCACTCTTAAAGCTTCTAGAGGATATGTGGTAAGTTAAGGATGGTCAATTGGGTCCCTTATTCCTGATTCGGTTTGAAACCGCGTGAACCAACAAGAACATGTCTTTTTAGTTCCCCGACGAAGAGGCTGACGGGTACAATCAGGTGAAGTACGTGCCGGCTATCTACACGCATTGCTACGATGACAGCGGCACGCGCATCTTCACCGCCGGCGGACCGCTGCCCGCGCCGCTCATTGGCAACTACGCCGGCATCTGGCAGTGACAATACACCACACTACACTACACCACATAACATTACGCTACATTACACCATATTAAACTACACTACACTACACTAAACCACGCCACACTACACTACACAACATAACACTACACTACACTAAACTTCACTACATTATACTACACTACATCACACCACACTACGCTACACTACACTGTACCACACCACACTACACTATACCACCCCACACTACACTACAACTGACGGTTGTCAAAGGGTTAAATCACGTTGATCGATTATATAAACGTGGCCAACAGTATAACAGATCAATAGCCATACAATCGCAACTGTTTGACTGTACTGGCCAAGTGAGAACATAGCAATTTATTTAGCTATTTAAACCTAAACTCAAGAGTTTTGACATCTGTCAGATTGTAAGTGGCGTTTTCCAAGCGAAGTGTTTGCTATTCGTTTCTGAATTCGGCCATAACTTTCTAATGACGTCACAATCAATATTCTAACCCAAGTTAACATGGTTTTACTGGGTTTTTGAGCTTGAATTATTTGAGCCTTTCTTATGTCAATGTGGCACCAGAAAAGTACAATTTAAATCGAACTCTTTTTCTTGGGATATAAAAATTCAAAATGGCGGACAATAACCGCCATTTTCGTTTGGAAACTTTATATGTGGAGAGAATTGCTTATCTTATTGTGCCTCCTTATACCAGATTACCTCAAACGGCCGAAATACTTGCGGCCAAAATTATAGGAACACAAGAGCATTTTACATAAGCAATATATTAAAATTAAAGGCTCGCCTTTGACATATGACGTGATTTTATTAAGAAAAATCGTATTAAAAGGTTATTGTAGACAAGGCAATTGCGATATTGTAAGTGCTTTGACTAAACTATCGCATAACTGTTTAGTCGTGCTTTGATTCGTATGAGCTTATGAGGTTACACTACTCGATTTTTAGTTATGCAACTAAATAGTCCATCGCACAACTGTCGTGCGATAATTTAGTCAAATAGCTCTAAATAATATGGTGCGGGTGACATGAAATTTTTTAAAGCGATGAAATTTTTTTATTTATATATTTTTAATATTTAGGTTAAGAACAGGCTAAAAATATCGATGTAGTGCATAGTTCGCTAGATTTTGGCATATTTGGTTATGTACTGCAAGCCTTCATATGAAATACAAACTTTGAATATAAAATGGAGATTGTAATTTGGTTATAGGAGAAATAAATTATATTAGTTTAAGAGCCTTAATAAATAAGTTTTTAGATAGATGAAAATACAATGTCGACAGTCTCAGATTTGTGTAATTTATTACCTATGACAAAATGAATTAACGAATTAAAATAACTTGATACCGTTTTTGCTGTTTTATTATAACCTAAAAAAAAGTAAAATACACCTAAATATAACAATGGCTACGTAATATCGTATATTAAAAACGCAATTTTGTTACAAGGAATCCTTAAGGATTCCAATTCCAAGGAAACAATTACGAAATATCAAATTTGAACATACGATAGACCAGTTCCGAGTAATATCCGAAACGGGTGGGCCAATTTTGACGGAACTTTCACTGGTCATGGACGGGCATATAATAATAATAATAATCATTTAATTCAGATATCAAAGATTCATAAGGTCGCTTTAACATCTTAGCACTGCAGGGCCGGCAGGGCCGGCACGCCCATTGTAATACCACGACCACACAAAAGACAGGCGTGAAATGGAAGCAATTCCGTGTTTCGTTTGATGAGTGTGGTGCCGGAGGCCTAATTTAAGTCCCTTTTTCTTTACCACCCTTTTCTTATAAGGAGAGGTTGGGAAGGGGAAGTGGATTTGACAGTGGAGGAGATGCTTAGGAAGGGGAAATATCCTCTTTAAGTGCGTCTCCTCCTCCGTCGTATAAGGGTAGGCAACGCATCTGCAATTGCGGATGTCTATGGGAAGCGGTTGCT